CCAATATCTATCATCCATTTGGCCCTGATGGACAAGGAAAATGCAGTTTTTGTATACAATGGAGTACTACTCTGCCGTGAAGAAGGATAACCAAGAGACGTTTAGGTAAATGGATGCACCTTGAAACCATACCTTTAAATGAAATTAATTGGACACATATTTAAATATCATATTGTTTTTCTTGTGTGAAAATGTTCTCTACTTTTAAAAGCTTATAATATAAGATTAGATCAGACCCATCCAGCTAATACAAGATAATTTTCCCATCTCAGGGTCCCTAGTTCAATCCTATCTGTAAAGTCCCTTTTGTCATATAACATAACAGATTATAGGTTCCAAGGATTGGCACATGGGCATCTTCAGGAAACCATCATTCTGTCTACCAGTATTGTAAATAACAGCAGCTGCAGCAACAACAACTATGGCATTAAAAAAACCTTATCTGGAGCCAGGCATGGTGGCGTAGGCCTGTGATCCCAGCACTCGGGAGGATGAGGCAGGAAGATCGCCGTGAGTTTGAGACCAGCCTGGGCAACATAGTGAGTTCAGGTCAGTCTCAACTACATAGTGAGACCCTGTCTTAAAAAAACCCCCCAAAAAAACCTTATCTGTAACATCAAAAGCAAGTATACTCTCAGTTATTCTTACTTCTTTTCCTCTTGGGTTTTCCAGTATCTGCAGTATCTAGAAAATAACAAGCAGAAGTGAGGAAACAGAAACTGACAAATAAAAGTTATAAATCTTGTTGACAGCTCATCCCACAGAAGGCTAAAGTTTATAAGGCTTAAAGTTTGGATGATCATTCCTTTCTTCCTATTAAAGGAATCCAAAATCCTACTGAACTGAGAATTAGGAATCCCACCAGTTGACCCTGGGCCTTCTTTATTTTCTCTGTGGGACTTTGAAAGACACTTTTCAGTATCTACGTACTTCAGTTTCTGTGGTGATAGAAACAGCTGTCCTTCCCTGTTTAGGTCTTAAGATTTTTGTATGGATTGCATCATATTTTATGTGCAAAATGTTATCCAAAAATCCACATATAAATCAAAAACACACTAGAGGATTTCAGTAAAAAAATGTTACTAGATTAAGAATATTTGATCTGAAGTCTTTCCTCCTAAAATTAGTAGAGGGACCAGTTTTCTATTGACAGAAATCTTTCCAAAGTTATGCCAAAGTGAAACTATTAATCAGCAGAAATGTACATGGTTTTCTCTGGTTCTTGGAAAGACTGGGTATGACTTTAATGCACCAATTTGGCAAACAAGAACTACAATTTTTTTTTTTTTTTGTAGTGGGGATTGGACTCACTGAGCTAAATCCGTGGGTCTTTCTTATTCTGAGACAGGGTCTCACTAAGTCACCAAATGGCCCAGGCTAGGTTCTAACTTGTGTTCCTCCTGCCTGCATCACCGTGCCTGGCTTCTGTGATTTTAGAGTACATTTGTACTATGTCATCTAGACATAACCAACAGAGCCCGTCCTGTCAAACATGACTTCAGTTCCCAAAAGACTCAAGTCAAGCAAATGCAGAATGGGATTCTGGGATGGCTGGGCTACCGGCCAAGGTACAGCCTGGAATCTCCCAAGGGGCACCACCTCGGGCATCCTTACCCTGCGTGTCATATGCTTGGCCACTATCTGTCCTTGCTTCGAGGCCTTCTGAAACTCGTGGGCAACACATGACACAGGAACACTTCTCAATTTCACATGCTGATTGCTGCGCTTCTAGGCCCAAATTGTGATTTTTATGAAGATTTTTCATCTGCCCCATGACCCTCTTTTCTACACCCTTGTTAGGCCTCCTTCTTTCCTTCTTCCCCTGAAATCTTCTCCTTTCATTTTTCCTCCCATACTTGACTCTTCTCACTAGTCTCTCTTCTTTTTCTCTCCTGTCTTTTCTCCTTTACCAGCTCTGTGTATATTTTTTTTTAATAATCCCCTTGTCCATGGCAGCCTAGTTGGCCGGAAGTGAGCTCTTCAGATTTTCCTTCTTTTTCACATGGTGCTCTTCTAGCTCACCAGGTACTAATGAAAAGAAGAAAGTTACTGTCCCTGGATCCTGCAAACGGTGGCCAGAGAAGAGCCCCCTCACCCCCGGCTACCATGCTGCACTGACACACGGAGCTCCAACAATCATACCTGAGACCTACGATTCGTACCTGCGATCTTTCCATTTTGTACCTCCTTCTCTGTTTCTCTCCTTTTATTCTTCTACTCATAGCCCTGAGAAGAAAACGGAAGTACTCATCTTCCGGGAGGAAAACATTGCTCTTTGTAAATAATAAGGAGCTAACAAAACCGTTTGAAACTCATCCAAGTTAGCCTTACACCAGTAACCACATTTCTGAAAGCCAGTCGGTCAGCCCCAGACATTCTCCCAACCCTTCATGGTATTGCGTGTTAAGATATTCATAAGCACGCCTGCTTCTGAGTCTGTAGTCCCTAAACTGCATGCTTCCCCAAACGCTCCATAGAATCTTGTTTATGGAGACTCTGCTACGAGCACAGGGCCCCTTCGCAGGGCTGCTCTCCTGAGCAAGCTTTTAGCTTCATACATTGAGTCGTGGCCTCACCCTCCCAAATCTGCATTCCCCACCTTGGCCACCTTGCAGACTCGCCTGGGAGAGTTCTGTGGGATCCCAGACCAGTGGGCTTCCTGTGCCCAACTCGGTCTTCCTGATCCAACGCCAGCTGAACTGGCCATGAAAACAAAGTGCTCTCTGACTTGCTTCATTAAACTCTTCTGAATTTATCTTCTTTAAAGATCGATGTGCAATTAGATATGAAGTAGCCAGATGTTTCGGGTTGGAAGGGCAGCATTCAGCAAATATCCTCTCCGTTTATGTGCTTATTTTCCCATTAGTTCCTTCACTCTCACTTTTCTTTTGTGTATTTTTAAAAAAGTTTTCTTTTGTATGTTTGTACGTTTCTGACTTTCCTTTGCTCCCCCCATTAAGTTTATTGGTACAATTTAGGTATACAATACAGTTACAATCATCATTGGGATTCTGTACCTTCACATGACTTACTATCTCTGTTCTTTTTCCCCCATCCTCTTGCCCTTCCTTCACATCCTCCATCCCTCCTTATTTACAATGACTTTGTTTCCATCTTTTCATTTTCTCATCTTTTTTTCTTTTCCGTTCTTACCCTTTCCCCTCCCCTCCCACTTCCCCTACTCCTTTAGACCTTTTCTTCCTATTACACAATATCAATTATACATTTTGATACTTATTTACACTTCTAGTTTTTCACACCAGAGAAACTATTCGGCATTTACGCATGTGTGTCTTATTAATTTCACTCGATGTGGCCTCAATGTGCATCCACTTAGCCATAAATGTCTCTAGTCTCTCCACTTTATGGCTGAATAGTACCCCATTTTATTTATTTAAAAAAATCTTCTTTATTCAGTCTTCAGTTGATGGGCAGTTGGGCTGTTTCCAAGTTTTAGCTATTACAAACTGTGCTGCTATAAACATGGGTGAGCATATATCGCTGTGATATGATTCTTTTAATTCTTTTGGAAAGATAACCAGCAGAGGGATGGCTGGGTCAAATGGAACCTCTAGTCCCAGCTCTTTGAGGTTTCTCCATATTGCTTTCCATAGTGGTTGTGCCAGTCTGCACTCCCACCAACAATGGAGAAGGGTTCCTTTCTCCCCACAATCCTGCCAGCATTTGTTATTGGTTGATTTCTTGATAGCAGCCATTCTTTGTGGGGTGAGGTGGAATCTCATCTGCATCTCTCGAATGAACAGTGAGGTTGAGCATTTTTTCATGTTTATTTGCTGCTTTTCCTTCTTCGTCTGGGAAATGTCTGGTCATTTCAGATGCCCATTTTTGGATTGCATCTTTACATTTGGGAGGTTGGATTGTTTTAAATTCTTTATATATTCTGGATAGTAGCCCTTTGTCTGAGGAACAGCTGATAATTTTTCCCACATTGTAGATTGTCTCTTTGCTCTGTGGGTGATTTCTCTTGCAGTGCAGAAGCTTTTGAAAAAGATGAGATCCCAGTTGTTGATTCTTTGTGCTAATTCCCATACTACTGAGGATTTGTTCATAAAGTCTTTTCCTATGTCCATACCTTCAAGAGTTCTACCTAACTTTTCTTCTAACCAGTTTAGTGTTTCTGTTTTAATATTTAGATATTTAATCCACTTCAATTTTAGTTTAGTGCACTGTGAAAGATAGGGGTGTGGTTTTAATCTTTGACAGGTTGGGATCCAGTTTTTCCAACACTATTTTTTAAAGAGTCTATCTTTCCTCCAGTAAGGGTGTTTGATTCCTTTGTCGAAGATGAGGTAGCTGAGTATGCCTGCACCCCATTTACCCAGTGATCTCTGAATGGGTCTGCAGGAAGCTCTTGATGCTCAGGAAAAGTTTTCCAGGACATGAAAGGTGATATTTGCACAAAGCCCTCTCAATCTCTCACCCCCACCGTGTTCCGCATCTTCCAGCCCTGCCTGAGTGTCCCAGTGTGCCCAGTGTCAGTGCACCCTTTCCCCCACGCAGGCCCCCAGCTTCTCCCTGTGGTTCCCCGGGACCTGCTGTGGCTTCCACACCCGTCCATCCCTGTGGCTGTGACCAACTGGGCCTGTGCGTCGCTCTGTTCTGGATGCACGTGGCTTGGCCACTCCATGCTCCTGCCTCCACAGGAAGCTCAGGAGGGTTCTCTCCTGTCTCCTTAGCCTTGGTTTCAAGACTTCAAAGTCCTAGAATCATCTTTCTCATTTTTCACCGAGGGTTTTGTGCTTTTTGCCTGTGCCGGTAGTCATGAGTTGAGTACATTTACAATTAACGGCTTAAACTGTTAGACAGATGTGTAAACGTGGGGTATCTCGTGGAACCTACATGTCACCTACGTCAGCTATCTTCACAGGGACTGTGCAGAAAGGGTGGCCGCCACCTCTCCTTGACAGGTGCCCTGGACCCCACCTGACTGGGCTCCGCTCAACCCGTCTGCAGGTTCCCAGCTCCGGCCACACTCGGCCAGAGGGACAAGTGGATTCCCAGTCCCCACAGCCGGGCTAGTCACCAGCGCCTCCACCCCACCCCGCACCCTCCTCAGGCGCACCAACCGCAGCACTCCCACCCCGACTCCCATTTTCGAGAGCCCCGGAGCCTGGAGACAGCGAGACAAGGACCGACGACTTCAGGAGCAGGGAGGGCAGCAGCACCCGCCTGGCCCTCTGCTTCCTGCTTCGGGGCTGAGGACACTTTCGCTTTTCTTTCTTCGGCAGCCCGCCCCAGCAGGAACAGGCGGACTTTCCGTTTCCTCTCTGGCATTTCCCTGTGTTAGAGGAGGATCCCGCGTCCAGTCCCAGGAACCGGGAAAGGCTAGGAGCCCTTGGCAAACCCAGCCCTCAGGTGAGCTGCTCTCTCCCGCTGCTGTCCGCCCTCTGGGAGGGGGTTTTATCCACATCTTCTCTCCTGGCGGCCGCTGCAAGGAAACTAAGGCAGGC